GCTGCTGCTGCTGGTGCTGCTGCCCCTGCTGAGCTCCGGCCATCGCGCGTGACAGCAGAGGCCGCCGCTGCCGGCCCCAACAGCCTCGCCGCCTCAGCCGCCGCATGTGCGCAACCGCCCACGCCGTCAGTGCCAGCTCCTGAGGCTGAAGCTGGGTGAGCCTCGCCCCCAGCTTGGCCACGGCGCTCTCAAGCCACGCGCGCGGCGGCAGTGCCCTCAGCGCCGCCAGCGCTGCTAGAGCCATTGCCAGCTCGCTGCCGCGGAAATACGGCAGCTTCTCACCGCTTGCAGCATACAGATGGCCAAACCACTCGGCAGGCGGCCGGCGGCCAAGCGCGCAAAAGCCCTGGAGCAGCATCACATAGCCCTGCGGTTGCAGCACTGGCAGCGCCGCGGCTCCAGCGCTGGCGAGCGCGCCCAGCCAGGCCTGCTGTGCTACCGGGTCTGCGGGCAGCAGCTTCAGGCGGCCCGATGCAAACACGATTGCGGCCACGTTCTTGGCGGCCCGGGGCGGCAACGGTGCAGCCAACCGCATCCGACNGGCGGCGGCCCTGCGGCTGACGCCACCGCTGCGGCGGCTGCAGCTGCTGCCGTTGCTGCTGCTGCTGCTGCTGCTGCTGCTGCTGCTGCTGCTGCTGCTGCTGCTGCTGCTGCTGCTGGGTCAGCTCCACCTCCCGCTGCAAGCTCAGCCCCAGCGTCCCGCACAGCTGACCAGCCACTGGTGCCATTGCAGATGCAGCTACCACCGCCGTTGCGCGAACGCCCAGCGGCAGCCCCGCGCCGCGCGGCACAGCGCGCGCCGCGGCAAGCAGCGCGGCTGCGGACTGTGCGAGGCTTCCTTGCTCTGCTACAGACAGGAGCGCGGCGGAGAGGGCGCCCCACCACTCGTGACCCGCATTCGCGCGCAGTGCCGCCAGGCCGACCAGGCAGCTGCCCAGCTTCTCGGGCCGCACGGCCAGCGCCTGCAGGTGCCGCCCGGATGCCTCTGACAGCCTCGCCGCCCACGCGCGCGGCACGGGCAGCCCGCAGCGCGAGAGGCCCAGCGCGCCCAGGCTGAGCGCCTCGAGCGTGGCACCGCTGGGCTCGTCGCCGGTCGCGTCTTCCCGACGCGCCGCCTGCAGCAACACCTCCAAGAGCGGCTCGGTGAGCGTTCGGCGCCGCTCCTCTGGCAGCAACGCCAGCGCCGCATGAGCGGACGGGACGCGAGCCAGCGCGTGCAGTCCCCACGCGACGTACCGCGCGTGCTCCGCCTGCGCCGGCGCCGCGCCCCTGCGGCGCGGCGGCGGCGACGCCAGCAGCTGCAGCAGGGCGGGCGCCGCTGAAACGTCGGGGAGGGGTGCCTGGAGGGAGGCCAGGCCGCGAAGGGCCAGGGCAGCGTGCTGGCAGTTGGCGCCGCCTGCGCGCGGCTGCAGCAGCGGCTTCAGCAGCAAAGTCAGCAGCTCGCCACGCGCGAGCAAGGCGGCGTAAGGGCCGGCCGTCGACTNGCGGCGTGGCAGCGACGACGGGCGCCTGCGGGGCGACGGCCGACGCAAGGACGCTGTCGCGTTTATTGACGGCGCCGCAGCCGGCGGCGGCTCCACTGCTTGTTGTTGGCCGCATGCCGGCTGCCAAGCGGCCCGACGTCGCTGCGCCGGAATGCGCCGGCGGCCCCGTCCACAGCGGCCGCTGCTGAAGGCCGCCCGGACGCATGGCGCCCGCGGAAATGCCGCCAGGCCCAAGCTTCGCCACCGGCCTCAGGGGTACAGCCGCCGCCACGCCGGCCTCCGTTTCCGCTACAGGTGCTTCGCAGCCGCCGTCAGTCGCGTCAATGTCCACCGCCAACCAGGGGCCGCCGGCCGCCGCCCCGGCGGACACACGCCCCAGGTGCCAAAGCAGCGACGCGGCATGGCCCGCGCCCGGCCGCGAGGCGATCGCGGCCGCCAGCAGGCGGCCCATCCAATCGGGGTCAGGCGCAATTCGCGCCGCCGCCAGCGACGACATCAGCAGCGGTGGCTCGTGGGGTTTCAGGCCCTGGGGTAGGCGGCCCAGTGCTGCGAGCGCGGCGGCGTACCNACTCGGCGTCTGCGGTGCTGCAGCTGCTGCCGCCGCCGCCGCCGCTGCCGCCGCCGCTGCCGCCGCCGCTGCTGGTGACACAGCTTGTGCTGCCGCGGCCGGCGCTCTCCAGGGTTGCAACACCCCAGATCAGGCCGATTACGCCCGACGCGCTGAGATCCCCCAGGCCGCCGAGCGACACGCGCCGCAACGCCGCAACTGTGCCGGCGTCCGGCCGCGCCCCCAGCCGCGCCGCGGCCCAGGCGATTAGCGCAGCTTCCCGGGAGGTGGCGCGGCGTGCGGCGCACGCGGCGCCCGCTGCCGCGGCAGGCGCGGCCATGCTGGCGGCGGCGAGCTGCAGCAGGGTTGATTCCAGGGTGGCGCGTGTTGCAACGCCGCTGCTGCCGCTGCCGTCTTTTTCGCCGCCAGTGCCTTGGCCATTGGCGTCCCCATTGTTACCAGCAACTTGCGCGTACCGGACAGCACCCTGCGGGAGCTGCGGCACCTGCAGCTGCAAGGGCTCCTGCTCCTGCTGGTGCCGCCCCAGCCGCTCATCTTGAATTGCCGCGGAATCCNTTCCGCCAGCCGTCCTCTGCCTCGAAGCCCACCATGCCGTCCTCCCCCTCTGTTAAAGCTGCAGGCGCGAGCAGCCGAGCCAGCCGCGACCAGGCCGCCGCGACGTGTATTGCATCAAGCTGATCTGCGCACGCCGACACGACCGCCTGCAACTCCTGCCAGCTGCTGCAGGCGCTAATCAGATCAGTCAAGAGCTTAGGATTGACTTCCAGGGAGCTGCCGCCTCCGCCGCCGCCAGCGCTGCTGCCGCCGCGGGTGCAGCTGCTACTGCTCCTGCTGCTGCTACCGCCGTCCGTGGGTGCCGACCGCAGCATCAGACGTAGCCAGTCGGCCCTGAGTGGAGTGGCCAGCCGTGCAGCGCCCCATACCACGGCGTGCCACTGGCCGGGGGACAGTGCGTCGCGATGCCGCACAGCAAGGGAGAGCAGCAGCGCTGCGCACCGTGCACAAGCATCACGTTGCTTCAGCGTGTGGACCTGCTGCTGCTGCTGCTGCTGCTGCTGC